ACCAAATGGCAAACACGAGGATGTCAAAACCAAACCATGGGTGTGCCTTTCTTTAGGACCCCCCAAATGGCGGGTTTCGTTTTGGATTCCCTTTAAACAACCAAAAACGCGTACCCTCGAAGAAAGAAACAAAAACAACGCACCCACATTTCACGGACTTCACACCCGGGCCCCCCTTCCCCTGGCGTTTGCAGAATGACCCTGGCAAAGCCTTACGCGGGTCGTATATTTGGCACGCAACAAGAGAGTTCGACAGCTGTACAGCAGGTATGCAGAGACAGTTTCGTCTAGGGCGCCAGGAGGATCCCCCCCCGTCCCGCCTCACTTACATTCTATCAGGCGGCCCTGAACAGTGCTATGCCCTAGCAGGCGGGTGTTTCCGCAAGAGGACCCGTACAAGTGGTCCCTTTGGTTTCTTTTCACCTTGTTAAGGAGGCGTGACCCAATTTTGGCCATCTGTGCGACTAATTTTTTAGTTGGGTACACTTTGGTGCGGTGTTCCCATGACTTATAGCCATGTTACCAAGGTTTCATCTACTCATAGCCATTCAGGGATCCTTACATTATACACCTGAACATTGCCTTGCAAATTGCGGTTTCCCTTTATGTTGACATGTTTCAAATGGTTTCAAAATGGAGATCTTTTAAGGAGCCCCTGGCCAGGTTACCACGATTTCATCGGTGTTTCCGCTTGGCTAAGGACCCAAACGACGCTGAGGCCCCGGCTGCGCGGAGCTTTCGACGCACCAGACTCTATACCTGCAGTCGATGGCTTTTCCCGCGCACCGTAGACGGGTCTCTTTTGTGTGTTTTTTGGGGGGAGGTTGGTTTCAAGGAAAATCAAACAGAAAACCGAAGCCATTTTGGGGGCCCCCAATTTGACACATTCCCATGTGCAATTGGTTTGCTTGCTACGCAGGAAGCCAGATCCTCAAGCCATGTGCAAGGTTGAAAGACTATGGGCCCTTTGGCAAATGCCTAAAACACCTTGCCGGACCACCGGCCACAATCTGGACAGGCAAAAACAGTTCAGTACTCTCCCACAAGAACATATCCACCCCCTCCCCCAAAGCATCCATGAGGAAGGATGTTTTTGTGTGTTTGTGTGTTTCTTCTTTTTTTCCATCTTTTTTTCGGGGTTCAGGAGTTATACCAACAGGGGTCCTCGAAGAAGAACAACATTCTTGGGTAACGGCCTTTTTCTGGTAAGTTCGTGCTTCATTGGGTGACCCTAGCTGCATCCTAGCAAATGAGTTTCTTTTCGGAGCTACGCTACAGGAAACTCACTCAGCCTGACCGCGAGCTCTTGACGACTGTCTGTCAAAAGGTTGAACTTGCAAGGGGCGCACAAGGGTAATGGCACATGACCGCATCACAGGCAATACTTACCTAGAGTTAGCTGCACATGGTGCCAAATACTGGCAAACAATGCCCCAGTTGCCTTGTGCCGGGCAGAAGTCCAGATTGAACAAGCGGATGCGGATTGACCAACTCACGAACAAAGAGCCTTACGTGACGCGGCTCTTGAAAACGAGGCATGTGCTTCGGGTTGCGACGATGAGAGAAAGTGGAAACCATGAGCAATTGGGGTCATATAACCACCATTGCTTACCTAAGGACTGTCATCATCCAAAATTGGGTCAACCGTTCGTTTGATGGGGATTGCACCCTAGGGTACTTATTATTCTCCTGCCATATGCCTTCTAAGTTTCCTTTGAGGAAGCGCACCAAGACCAAACCAAACGCAAGCAAGCCCTAAAACCACTTTGCCCAAGCCAAGCCTAAGTATTCTATCGATGTATCTATTTATTGATTTGTTCATTTGGTTATACATACTCAATATATGTGCATGAGTATACAATATATGCGTATGCGTATACACACATAAATGCATGGTGCATCTCCTTCAGCTCCTTCACGCACTCACGAAGCCGAGTGCCGAGTTTCTGAGCGCCGCGCTGCTGCGAAGGATTCACAAACCTCAGGCTACGTGAAACAGAAACACGTGCCATCCTTGCCCAGCCCAAGGGAAACCGGTCCCTTTGAAACCATGGGCATAATTAACCTACTAAACTACTAAGGGGACCAAGGGTTACTACTCAGATAGCAACCACAAGAAAGACCGGTTGCCACATAGGTCATAGCAAACACTTGGTAGGGAGCTGGCTTCAACCCGCATATTTCATACAGGTGGGCCGCAAAATATTTCTGGCTGGAACTGTCCAATTGCCAAGGTATTGATTGAGGCTCTCACTTGAGTGTCTTGCCCGAGGGTACACCTTTTGGATAAAAACAGAAGCCAAACCACCTCTAGTCCTTTCGAGGGCACATTCAGACAATAAATCCGGTCAACGAACAGGCCCATTTTGTTGTTGTTGATTGGCTTTCAACAGATTTGCAAAAAATCATCGGCATGAGGCCGGCTGCTTCAACCCGTCTGGGTCTTCAAAACTGGAGGAAACCCTAAGTGATTTGTTCCTTTTGATTTCCTGTTTCGAACCAACCGTACATGACAGAGGGTGTCTTACTAGCCATGCGAGCTGAACAAACCCAATCACAACCCCACCCAACCCAAACCCAACCACACAAAGCCCGGCCCACCAGCCAACCACGGCCACATATCCCAAACCCAACCCACCAACTCATGGTTTGTTGTTCTCGTTCGTCCCACATCTCTAAGGCCGAAACGTCTTGAAGTGCATCTCCACGTAGTTGGCCCCATCCCTCGGGTCTGCCGATAGCTACCGCCGCCGAAACGTAGACGAGAACCCTTGGCCAGCTGACAAAAGCATTTGCCGTTTGGTGGAGGAGTTTCGAACCTCGCGTTCGGGCGCTTTGGCTGGCATGTCCACCAACTCAACATGTTTGACACGGTGGGCTTTTCTGCTTGTTGTTGCGGGCTCAAACTCGTGTTCCTGCATGTAATACAAGGTCAAGGTGTGCTGGGCCCTGACCCCGAAGCTAAAACAGTTCGAGAAAAGTAATTTCTTGTAAGGACCGCCCAAACTCAATGGTTTCCTGCTGGCTGTTTTGCTAGCTTCCTCGTACCAACCACAAAGGTGCAGGGCAGTTGGAGCACGGGCCCCTGACACAGTGTCTTCCGTCGCCTCTCCCTGGCCAAGGCCAATGGGGCTCAGGCCTCAGGAGGGCATAGGGAAACATCCCATGGGCTGTTGGTGGAACCTGCCGGATTTTCTCCGTGAAACCATCCTGAAAAGAGTATCCTCAACAAACGCATGCACCAACATCAAGTGCTAGGTCCCGGCCCACTGCTTTTGCACCCTTGCAGACTTGACCTTCCAGTTTTGAAGCCGTGACCGCTCTTGGGGCTGCGAAGGGCGGAGTCCCAACGCACCCATGGTCACATTCCGTCACTTAAACCATAATTGTCATAGCCATTGGCCAGGGCGCCGCCACACTTGTGACCGACCGAGTAAATACTGTGGGATTTGCTCTAACCAGACTTGCTATCCCCTTCGAAAAGTTTAACCTGTGGGTTAAATAGAACCCCCCTCTGAACCAACTGAAAGCTAAAAAGCTAAGGGGATGCCTGGAAACCACCAAGGCCACGTTGAACCCTATCAATCCCTCTGGGTAGCTGAAAAGAAGGAATAAGAAGGATCGGGGACTAACATGTGCAGGGCACAGCAAGATTCAAGCCATAAGCTATGCTTTCCAATGGTTCTCCTGCAAGCAGCAACGCAGAAAGAAATGCAATGTGTGTGTGTGGGTGGGTGTGGGATATGGTGTGATGTGATGTGTGCGTGTGTGCATGTGTGCCTCGGTGACTGCGTGTGCGCGCGCGTTCGTGCGTTCGTGCGCGTGCGGGCGAGCGGGCGGGCGGGTGGGCGTGTGCGTGCGCGAGCGCGCGTGTGTGTGTATATATATATATATATGCACATGAGCGGTGATCAAAATCAATAGGCCAAATTGCGATGATATCATTTGGTGCTTCCGCGTGCTTCCACGCGCTTCCGCGCTGCGGGTGTTTGCTTCCGCGGTCTCATTTCCCTTCTGCGCCTTCCGCGGCTTTCGTCTCTTTCTTGCCAAGCCAACAATTAGATATTGAGCTTGTTTTCCACCACCCGTTTTTTCGTGAAAAACGTTGCCAATAGGGATCACTGCAGCGCCAATATTGATTCACGCGGGCCTGGCGCTCTACCAATTCACCCCGTCGTTCTGTGAAACAAGGGCGCCTGGCTAGAATAACTGCTTTCTGACCACCGCCCAAAAAGGGCCCGATCACACCCAGGAAGTATAAACTGTAGCCTGGTGGCGTAAACCTTCGTGGGAAAACAAGATCGGTTTGTCTGCGGCTCAGCTCTAGGCCGCCCCAACCAAAGAACAACTACACGTCAAAAAGGCCAGCACCACAGTCAAGCGAGCATGGAATGGCAAAGGGCTTGAAAGGCACAACCAATTGAAAGGCAACCAACCAACGCCCAAAAAGCCGTGAAGGTCACTTCTTGGAAGCCCCGCGCCAAAGCTTCCCCCTTAGTGCTTGGAGCTTCTCCCGCAACAGCATGGCAGTGGTCGTTGTCAGGTGCTTGGCAGGCACTAGCTTGCGAGAAGCACCTCGCCCAACGGCCACCAGGCGCTCGGACTCGATGAGATGATGTTGAAGGATGGCTCCAACCTTCTTTCTCAAAGCCCGTCAACCTTGGATGGGCGGCCTCTGCGTTCCTCATCAGCAGTCACAGGCAAAGCGCCGCTGCGAGCTTGCGTGTACCTTGCCTTGCTAATGTCATAGAATGCTGCGCTGAGAACTTCACGAGGTAAGCCTGCAAGACTGACGGCGTTGTCCAGGTGGTTCACGGAAAGCACTCGGCGATGAAGCACAGTGGGGGCTGGGTCGCAGTTGGAGAGGAGTTGCCCCAGCTCCCGGAGCAGCGCTTGAAGGCGGGCATGCCCGGCAGGGCAGTACAGTCCACAGGCTGAACATCTACAGCGTCCCTCTCCAAGCGGGCCTGTGCATCCTGCAAAATGCAGGTGAGATCCTGGCTTGTGCAACAGTGAGGCTGAAGAACATCGCACACGTAACGAGAAGATGAGGCCAGATCGGCACATGGCTTGCTTTGGATTTGGCGGCATCGCTGGTGATACTAAAGGCTTGGGTGCTAGAAACAGGTAAGTGAAACAGCCATGCTGGGGAAGCCCTGAAGAGATTGCGAGCCTGTGCTTGAGACATCCTTGTGCAACCGTGCGACGCGCTGGCCCGATCTGTGGAGCCATCCAGTTTCTGTTACGAGCAGTAGACGGCTGTAGCAAATGGTTTAAATGGGTCCCATACTCAAAACGACGACCCCTGAAACGCGAATCCCAATGGATTTGCAACGCAAACGTGAGCCTCACGAAACACCGCGGCTACGATTCCCGTACAGGGTCAACGAAAACAACACATCGCACGCAAGTCATCCAAGTCACGGAACCCTTGCGCGGTCCTTCCGCGCCCTTCCTCCAGTCTTCCGCGAATTCAGCCCAACATCAATCTCCACGCATTTAAAGGCCCGGGGTTCAATAACGATTTGTTTAGCCCGAACAAATCGTTTTTAAGCCCGAGAGCAGAAACGATTTGTTGGGCCCGAAACAATCGTTTTTCAGCCCGGGGTTAAAAACGATTTGTTTGGCCCGAACAAATCGTTTTAAGCCCCGGGAGCAAAAACGATTTGTTGGGCCCGAACAAATCGTTTTTGACCCCGGCTGCTTCGCTTCAATGGAAAAGTAAACGGTAGAGCGCGCGGAGCCATCCCCGACGGAACGCAAAGTCTGGGGACTCGAATCCCCCCGCGGCTCCACAGCAAAGTTGTGCCTCTTGCGGGGTGACGGCCAAAACAGATTGTGAGGCCAGTGTGTGGCCCGGGGTGCAGAAACCATTTGTTGGCCCGAACAAACTGTTTTTTGGCCCGGGAGCGAAAACAATTGTTGGGCCCGAACAAATCGCTTGAGAGCGCCGGGGAGCAAAAGATTTCTACACGCTTTTGACGCTCCAAAAATGTTCCCCTTCCACGCCCTTCCGCTGCGCAAATTTCGTTATCAAGTCCGCCGGCCCTTCCGCAAGCTTCCGCGGCCTGCGGAAAACCTTGCGCGCGGATTGATTTCAGCGCTCCCTTTCTTGAATTGCTTTGAGCATTTTTGATCGCTGCTCATATGCATATATACGTATGTGTGTATGTTTCCGTGTGTCTGTGTGTGTGTGTGTGTGTGTGTGTGTGTGTGTGTGTGTGTGTGTGTGTCTGTCTGTCTGTCTGTCTGTCTGTCTGTCTGTCTGTCTGTCTGTCTGTCTGTCTGTCTGTCTGTCTGTCTGTCTGTCTGTCTGTCTGTCTGTCTGTGTGTGTGTGTGTGTGTGTGTGTATGTGTGTCTGCGTGTGTCTCTGTGTGTGTGTGTGTGTCTGTGTCTGTATCCGTATCCGTGTCCGTGTCTGTGTGTCTGTGTGTCTGCGTGTCTGTGTCTGTGTGTCTGTGTGTGTGCTTGATTGTGTGCGTGTGTTTGTTTGTGTGTGTGTGGGCCTGTGTGTGTGTGTGTCTTTGTGTGTCTCTGTGTGTCTCTGTGTGTCTCTGTGTGTCTCTGTGTGTCTCTGTGTGTCTCTGTGTGTCTCTGTGTGTTTCTGTGTGTCTCTGTGTGTCTCTGTGTGCCTCTGTGTGCCTCTGTGTTTCTGCGTGTGTGTGTGTGTGTGTGAGAGCGTGTCTCTGTGCATCTCTGTCTGTGTCTGTGTCTGTCTATGTCTGCGTCTGCGTCTGCGTCTGCGTCTGTGTCTGTGTCTGTGTCTGTCTGTGTCTCTGTCTGTATGCGTCTGTGTCTGTGTGTCTGTGTGTCTGTGTGTCTGTGTGTCTGTGTGTCTGTGTGTCTGTGTGTCTGTGTGTCTGTGTGTCTGTGTGTCTGTGTTTCTGTGTTTCTGTGTCTGTGTTTGTTTGATTGTGTGTGTGTGATTTCCACCCTGGAGCAATCAGAACAACCTGTTGCCATTTCAGAAGGGGTCTTAAGCACCCTTTGCCTCTGCCAAGCAAACCGCTGGAAAACAAAAAGCCCATTTTTTTTATATTGGGATTCGAATATGGGCTTGTCACAAAATAGGAGGATCTTTAAATGATCGTTTTCCAATTTGTTTTCCTTCAAACAAAAGACCCGATGAAAACTGAGGACAAACTCCTTGGGGACAGTCCAGACACGTTCACTCCGCAAAACACGCAAACTTCATCTGATTCCCCCTCACCCCAGCAGACGCAGCGGTCTGCGACTGAACCACTTCGCCAATCCCAGAGGGTCTCTTCGTATCGGGGGCGACGTCGCGACCCGTTTCGGTGGCCCCCGGCCATTGGCGATGTCTGCGCCGTTGGGCATGAAGGAAGGCTCATACTCCGAGATGGCCTGCAATCCCCACTTCCATGGGTTTAGGGGTGATGCTTGTGTGGTCTTTTTCTGGTTCTCTATTTGCACCTGGTTGAGTGAATTGGGGGATTTGGCATTTGGGGCCAGCCCGAAATGGCAGCTTGTTTTTATGGCCACCTGGTTTCTAAGGGCAGACTTTGTTCTGGTGAATGGAATCACATGGTTTGACAGGAGCACCGCCTTTCGACCTCCCCTCTTCATGATAACCAAAACCTGGTAAAGTGGTCTAGCACGGGTACAAAGAATGTAGAGGGTCCTTTAAAGGATGTAGAGGGTCTACAAAGAATGTAGAGGGTCTATAAAGAATGCAGAGGGTCTACAAACAGTGTGGAGGGTCTATTAAAAAACAAAAAAACTGTATAAGGTCCTATGAAAAATATGAAGGGTGTATAATAAAGAATGTAGAGGGTCCTTTAAAGAATGCAGAGGGTCTGTACAGAATGTAGAGAGTCTATAAAGAATGTAGAGGGTCTATAAAGATTGTAGAGGGTCCTCTAAAGAATGTACAGGGTCTGTAAAGAATGTAGAGGGCCCTATAAAGAATGTGGAGGGCTATAAAGAATGTAAAGGTCCTACAAATAATATAGGATATCACAGCAGTATGTCAAGAATCTAGAGTCCGGATATCAGCAATTTACGGAGTTGCCTGCACACGCTCCACTTGGCTGTCCCATTTAAAAGTTTCACTTGTGGGATAAATGGAAACCTAACCACTCAACCAACTAAAAACCTATAAGCCAAACAAACCGGACGGCTGGGAACCGCCAAGTTGCAAGGGCAAAGCTTCATATTATAGGTGAAAAGGGTGAATGTCACAATTGTTTCCAAATCTCCGCATTCGAAGCCAAGATGTATATTGAACGGAGCCAGCACCTTGACCCAAACCCCCAACGAACCCAGCCCTTGCCTTTCGCCAGGGAGGTGGGGGTTCCCCAGTTCCCCCCAATTCCAGAAACCAGGCTACAAATGTTAAGACTCACTTCCTCAGGGGATCGCTTATTTGTTTATTTCCTGCTAAAACTGTCTTCCCGAAAAAGTGTTGAAGTCCAGGAACTCAGGGAGTGAGAAGATGTTTCTAAAGGTAACTTCCCCATTCTTCCAAAAATCCTTCTTTCTAGAAAACCACCAAAAATACTGGGGAAATGGCTGGTGATTGAAAAGAACGATGGCTGAAAAGAATGGACGAGGAATCAACCCCTAGAACATGGTAACACCAAGAGGTACACCCGGAATGGCTGCAAAGGACCGCCCCGAAATTGCGCCCAGCCATTTTGGATGGGCTCCTGACAAACACGGCCATGACATCGAGGATATATGCCAATCTTTGGCAGTGGGGCCTTGTGTCACCGCGGGGTTGGTGTTTCCAACCAAAAAAAGTGGCATGTGTTACCACCCAGAGCTGGCTGTGGCTCAAAAACATGGAGACCAAAATGGCACCAAAATGGCAAATGGAACCAAAGACTAAAACCTGCGTAACCGGCTCAAAAAACCGGCACCAAAATCAACCCTGGTGAGTGGAAACATGGACCAAAACCTGCGGTTTGCCCTAGCTCTTTAACTTTGAGCCAACACCCAGAGCTTTCGACTCTGAGGCACCGGCACAGCGGATCCGCGAGGCCATGCCCTGCAGGCGACTCTGCACCTGACGGCGTCCAAAACCGCTGCGAGGCGAGGCCGCGGCGGCTGTGGTGGTGGCTTCGGTTGAGGGGCTTTGAACATCAAAATGCGGGGGGGGGGGGTGGCCGGGGGGGGGGGGGGCACTCTAAATCGAGTTTGTTTTGGACTGCACTGTCCAAGCAAGGCTCCAAACTGCAGGCATGGCAAGGTTGCAAATTTGCGTGGGCTCAACATTCTAGCTCTGCCAAAGCTCCAACACTCGAACTTAGCCACACTGCAAGACTTACACTGCAAGGTGCAAGGCTGCCAAGCTGCAGAGGGCTGCAACTGCACCCTGTCTGCCAAGCTCCAATATTGCAAGGCCCCACCAATGTTTCAACACTGCACTACCAAGCAAGTCTGCCCAACTACAAACCTGGCAAAGTTCTAGACTCACTCCAACACTGCAGGTTTCCCGCTTGTTGCCCAAGCAAGGCTGTTACCTGGCAGGACACTCAACTCATTGCTAAAGTTTGCAAACAGGCTTGCAGGGCCAAAGCTCCAACACTGTAAGGCTTTTGCAAACTGCATTCTTTGCAAGAGCTGCAACACTAAGTTTTGTTCACTGCAAGACTTGTCAAGTCAAGTCACAACCAACCTGACCTGCCAACTTTCAACATTGCAATTTGTGCAGTCTCAGAGGCAACAAGCTGCAAGTTTAGCAATTGCAAATCTGCCAAAGTTCCAACACTGCAAGCTTGACTGCAACTAGACCTGTTTTCTCTTTTTGCAGACTGCAAGGCAGCTGGTTTAGGGGGCAGTTTGGCATGCTACCATGTTGAAGGCCTTGGTGCAAAGTAGCTTGCAAACACCACCAAAGTTCCAACTGCAAGGCTGCAACTAAGAAGACTGCTTGTCAAGAACTTTCAACACTGTCTTCCAGCATTGAAAGGTTGTGAAACTGGGCAGTTTGGCAGCACCACACAAACACACCAACAGAAACAAAACACACAAAAACACAGAACACACACAAAACACAAACACAAACACACACACACACACACACAAACACACACACACACACACACACACACACACACACACACACACACACACACACACACACACACACACACACACACACACACACACACACACACACACACACACACACACACACACACACACACACACACACACACACACACACACACACACACACACACACACACACAACAGTCTTGGAACTTCGGCATTTTAAGCAACCAGTTGGTTTTGTGTGTTATTGTGTGTTTGTGTTTGTGTGGCTTTGAACACCAAAATGGGGGGGGGGGACTTTATGCTGGTTGGCTCTGGGCTTTTCTTAATTTTTAAAGTAGACGAAAGGGGAAACCCGCTCAGCTTTTTTCGGGAAAAATGGTATGACAAGGAAGAACATATAAAGCGATTGTTTCTCATCCCTGCCATGGCAATGCGGGAGGGACCTCTAAAGCTATTTGACTTCATGTTAGAATATGGGGCTTACCCATTCAATTGAAGGGGTGACTCCGAAGTTGCCCCTGTCACTGCATCACAAAAACTATAAACCAATGTGCGCCATGATCATAGTCGGATGTCCATAGGCCTCTTCGTTTGGTTGCACACCCGAAACTCATCGGAAAACGATAAGCCAAGTGGTTGCAACAAAATGTGGTACCGTTGTTTCACACTCTACCAGACCTTGTGTGACACATCTCAGATACACGATGACCTGCGAACAAACCAAGGTCCGCTGGTTTGGGCTTGTGGTAGCATGTTGGGGTTGGGGTTGGGCTCTGTTCGTTTTGATGAATCCATCGACTGGAATTATAGGGAGAAAGGAACAACGGAAATCCGCACATGTTACAATCTTTCCAAAACCTGAAGCAAGCGATCCCCATCAAAGGCTGAATGCGTTTCTTAAGGGGGGAATCAGCTTTTCACGCGTTGAACATGGCCGTGAGTTCATGTATGGACCTAAACGTTCAGCTTTTAGCGCCCGAGTGCAGGACTTACCCACATCCGGCTTAGCTCGTTTGACCCCCAAGTGAGCTGTGTTTCAGGGGCGCATTGGTGAGCGTTAAAGGGAACCGACGAACACAACTGAATTCGAGACGTCGAACATGCGAAGGCCAAGCCTAGTAAGCTCGTTGTTCGATGGGAAATACCATCCAACACATGCTAGAAGGGACTCCTCGTGCAGGGACTTCTTGGTTTCTGGTTCGCATATCAGCATCTGAGGAACCCTGCTGTAGGAGTCTTCTCATGAAGCCGCTTTACTTCCGGATGGGGGAACAACTTGCAGCTCCAGGCCCCCGGCAAATGAGATCAGGCTAGGGCAGAGTTCAAGGGCTTGGACCTAGCTGAGGTAAAGAACACATGTGGATGGTCTGCACCTGCGAAACAACGAGCGAGTTTCGCAAAAGCTACCGATTTATGCACAGGCGCAATAACGCAATTCACACGTCTCGATAAAAAGATAATAAAAGCCTTCCCCAAGGGCACGGCAACCTTTCCCACCTGCGCACGCTTGCGCAAAAACCGACACAGCTGGGGAACGCATGCTGACCCCGAGACCCCTTCTATGACTAGATCCTGCTACGCATTTGGCACAAACTGTCAATTTTGTTCCTTGCCTTCACCACCCTCCGCTGTCCTCAGGTCCCCCAGTCAAACAGTTTAACTGTTCGTGGGTTAAATGGAAACCCAAGCACTAAACCAACCAAAAAGCTAACACTTATAAGGAACCGGGTGGCTGGGAAGCATCAAGTATCGCATCCCCAAAGAGGGTTTACCGTTGCCCCTCCGCTGGAAACCCCACCAACTTCCCGCCTGCACCGTGATGGAGGCCACAGTGCTGGAGAAAAGGCTCAGGTCCGATAGAGGGTCCAGCACTTCCTGAGATGTTCCGAACCATGCTGCCGAACGGCTCATCAGTTGGGGCCCCTTTCCAGGGCTCCGAATCTTTTCAGGAACCATCAAAACCCAGGGAAACATCTGGCTTTGGAAAACAACCATGGTCGAAAAGAATGGACAAGGAATCAACCCCTAGAGGTATTAGAGCTTTGCGCACAGAGCGGCTGCGAGCAATGGTATGCCGAGATGCTTCACTGCTATTGTTTGCAGACAGATGGAACTGGGCTGGCCGTTTTCAGATCCCCTGCTAAAGGTTTGACTTGTGGGTTACATGGAAACCCCAACTGAACCAAATAAAGAGCTAGAAAGCTAAGGGATAGGCTGGAAACCACCTAGGGAATTTGTGCGCTCCAAAAGCCTCTTGTGAGCTTTTATGGTAGGGAGGCAAACCCAGCTGCCACGATGATTGTCAGTCACATGCTTCGGTTTGCAACATTGCGTTGACCCTCAAAATTGGCTAAAATTGGCTGGCGTTATGTTGGTTGCCTTTCACAACCAACCAAACAAGGGGGTCAGCTTTAGAAATGGACAAAACACAAACCCTCAATCGACTAATGCATCAAGCGACCCGGCGGGCGTGAAAAAATAATAATTGAAGATTGGCCGGGTTGACCAAGAACCCTTTGGCGGACATCGTGAATCAATTTGTTGATTTCCCGTCCTCTAACTTTTGCACGCGCTGGTTTTGCGGCTGCAGCTGCTGCCGGGTTTGGCTTGTGCCGCGCGTCTCCTCCAAGTTTTGCGCTTGCTGCTCTACTAGCTGCAACAACTTCCTGGCCACGGAACGGGCACTGGCAACTCTCGCTTCTGGAACAGCCGGGCGGTTCCGTGGCCAGACTTGGTCTATGTTCGGCATCGCAAGATCTCTTCACCCATCGTTCTCTTTACAAGCCACATGTTAACAGGCCCCAGGGGATTGGCCAGTTGTGAAGAGAAGGATCCCTGAAGAGATAGCGCACCCAAAACGTTTGTATCAAGCTCCGCCTTCAGCGAACGATGTCATGAGGGTCCAAAAAAGGGCCCCTTTGGGCTCGCTCGCCCGAGAAATATGCGCAAAAATTGTCCCCTGACCTTCCAAATCCGAGCTATACCAACGAATCACATGTTCAGATTCTGGTCAAAGCCACGATCTTGGACATCTAGGTCCTCCAGTAGAGAGGTTAGAGTAAGGGTACCCTTTGTTCTGTAGTCTATTTTAGTAGGGCAACCCTCCCCCCCAAAAAAGGGGTAAAAGGGCACTACGGGGGGGACTAGACATAAAACTCTGGTGCAGCTTTTCTACCTCAAGTCACTGGGGAAGCCAGGCGGAGTTTTCCTCTGGGCCCTCCCGCGAGCTGGCCAGCCTGGTGGTTGAAGGCCCTGCGGGCTTGGAGTCTTGGGGCTTGGGAAACCTTACGAACCGAGACATGGAGATTTCCCCGATGCCCTCAATCAATAAGACGGCCTGGTAGAGTACCTATGGATTGGTGCGTGCCCTTACGGTGGATGGTAGGTCCTACTCCTACGCCTGAAATGGTCAATGCTCCACTGAGTCCAATGAGTCCAGTGATTAACATCTTTTTGATGCCCCCCACCACTTCATCTACCGACCAATCAACTCGCTGGTGCTCAGTAGGGAATGACCAAGGGTTTTGCGAATGAACCTGGGCATTCCCTTAAAGGAAACCATAGGATTGTGTTTCTCGGGGTCATGACAAACGTGACATGCGCTCCAAAAAGAGAAAGCATTGTCTCGCAAACAATGCCTAATAGGGCCTAATACTGTGGGTGGATGAAATCCTGCACCACTTTGAAACCATAGCAAACCATTGTTCGTTGGTATTTACAGGGGAAGCATCAACGGGTTTTTGAGGTGGTGCGAAATGGACTTCGTGCATCCACAGTAGGGTCGATTCTGGGATTCTGCTTTGTTCATGGCTGTTTCACTCGTTCCCTTTGGCAAACACGGATGGCGTTCAAAGGACTGTCGGCATGCAGCCTGAGGCTATCCCGTTGGCTCTAACGGCAAAACACGAATGGGCCTTCGTCAGCAGCTCGTTATATTTTTTGCCCCATGCTGCGGAGGGAAATGATGGGTGTCCCAAATTCACTTGACACCCTAAGCATCACTTGTAGAATCTTCTTTTGCGGCAGCTTTAGTTTGTCTCCATGTTGTATAACTCGTGGGGCAGTAACTTTCTTCCTGAGTTGATTGGCCAAAAAAAGTAACCAAACTTTTGTTCGCCACCTAAACTGGTCCAAACCCAAAAACGTCAAAGTTCAGGGACTCAGGGCCCCCGCGAAAAGCTCAGCGTTTTGGGGGGTTTAGTGGAAAACCCCTTTATTGCCAGAAAGTTAAAGTCTGAAGATCCAACCCAATAGCAGCCAAGAAATGGGTGTGTCTTTTTTTAGGGAACCCCCCACTTGAGGAGCGGGTGAACGAAAGCTAGCAGTTGTTGCATGATATGTCGGTGACAGAGTGGATTCATAGGTAGCTTGTGTACAACGAGAGGCCCGGCAAGATTCGTAGGATGCGACACGCAAACGCACATGGTGGCGTGGCAAACCTTGAAAAATGAAAACAACGAGAGGCGTGAGAAGCTGTCTTAAAGCACCTCTGGGTTCTGCATGCTGCGTGTGCAAAGATTCTTGCGTGGTGGTTTACCGAGAAGACTGAGGTCTCAAATGAACAAGCTGAATCGGTGGAACATGTAAAAGTTCGTAGCACCAAGTCCAAAACGGGCAAACCGAGACTGCTGAACACTGAGCCACTGCCCAGAAAAGGGGGGGATGGACCAGGGAGGAATCGAGCCTGAGACCGGGGGGGGGGGGAGGGGGGGGGGTCTAAATAATTGATGTTTTTCAATCTTTTCGGCTCAAATAATTGAAAAAATCAATCTTTCGGCATTTGAGCCCCTTACCTTGCTTACGCAAGGAGAAACTTCAGCTAGCTAAAGCTAGCTTTCGTGAAATGGTTGTTTTCCTCTTGGTGTCCCTTTATACCCACCCCAAAACGGTACCTGGAAAACGAGACACACCGATAATGTAATTGCCGACCATCCAGAATTGTACCCCCAAAAGCGGCTACCCTGAAAGAAGGACACACCGACATATGAAATGATGTAATTGCTGACCATCCACAATTGTAGCCCCCCTCGGAGAAAGAAAAAGAAGAAGAAAAAAACGGAGTACCAGGTCGGAGAAACAAAAAGACAGACCCCAAACAAAGGTTGCAGGTTCCTGTAACTAAATGAATAATAGTATATATATATGTATATATATCTATATATATATATGATATATATAATGTATATGCAAAGCTATGGTCACCCAGCTCCATAGCTTCCGCTTGAAAATCTGAGGCTCCACGCTCCAGGGAGTTGCAGGCATCTAGGCTAGCGCAGTAGCAGACCTTGAAGACACCTCCCGGAGGCAGCGCGCAAGTTGCGGGGCGCAATGGAACCCGTCAGGAACCAGGAATTCCTGTGTGGCCGAATCCCTTTGAAACCAAACATCAAGTGATGTTTTGATGTTTCTATTTCTTTCTTTTTTATAAAGACCTGTGTAGAATAATTTAGCCTGGCATGGCATAAGAGATGCATCCAGAAGACAGGTCACGAATTCATGGGGGTCGCAAAAGGGCACTATGTTCGATTTGGGACCTGCGGACATCATTGACATGGGCCTCTATTTGCTTCAGACCCCCGGTAGTGATAGATTCCTTTTAAAACCACGGAGGAAAATGAAACATATTCTTCAGCAAATGGAAGTGGGGATCTATGTCCCCAACGTTTTTTTGAGGGCGTCCCTCACCAACCTTGTTTACCACATGTCCCGCCCACACATGCCACCATTAAGGAAAAGGACATGGCCATGAGTGTCTACACTGTTTGATCCTTCCAGGAAGCCAGCTTTTCTCCCAGCCAACCACAAATCAAGACGAAGTCAAGATATTATATACTTGCTTCCCCAAGAGTGCGTTCCCCTGGTTTGGGCGGGAAGCAAATGGATTTGTTCATGTCGCTCCTGAATGGACTATTACCCAACGCCCTAAAGAACACTGGATCTTCCTTGCGCTGCTCCATGCCGCGTTGGTCCTTGAACTACTTGCTCACATCCGCGAAGCAGTTGGCTGCTGGATCGCGCAGCCCCGGCAAACAATTGCGAAGACGATGGGAAATCCGCCTTCCCCCAATACGTGCGTGTACCACCGTCGGCTTGACCTGCGCCACAGTGAACAAAACCCAAAAAGCAAGAACAGGCAACGTGTGGTCGCCCCGATGCATCACTGCTGAAGATAACAACGCAGCAAACAATGTTGCTACTTGCTGGAGCAATCAATCCTCCATCTCTTTCACATTCCATCCACTGATACTCTCTGCCTACGACAAGGGACATGAATCCTTTCGTTCGCCAAGTCACGACGAATGTTGTAATCAATCGCGGCACGTATCTGGCATCGGATCACCTTGTTCTTTTCCAGCACTTTCTTTCATCCGCGTGAGCCTCGAGTCTCAAGCTTAACATCAATTGCAAGCTCATCCACCTAGCAACTCTTCCGCCCTCGGATTATGCTACCCAAATGGCTTGGGCTGACAGTTGGCAGCTGAGTCGTGAAATCTAGCCGAAATAACCTGCAAGAGTTGAAGGCTCTTTGAGGCAGATGTGTGATGCCCGGGAGCAAATTCTTGCTAATCATGTTTACCTAACGAAAAACGAATTTGAGATCAGCAACATCAGGGGATTCCTGGAGGGTCTTTGGATGGGGCCGTAGCCTCATTCCCCGACCTCATTAAACCCGTAGGAGGCCATTCACTCCCCTGCAAGTTGACATGGATATCCAAAAACCCGCATGGCTTCAGTTTGGAGGACCGGCTTTTTGGGTTCCATATTAATATGCAGCTTGTCTTACCTCAGTTTCAAACCGTGTTGTGGGTGACAAGTTGTTTCATCATTTCAGTCTAGGGCCCACCAGTGTATTTGTTCTAGCACGCCAACTCAGTAGGTGAGTCTTAGAGCAATTGACAAGTTATGCTTGTTGTGTTGAGAACATGAGAGTTTTTTTCAAAATTACGTACCCACAACATGCTTGTCTTTTCATGTTCGGTTCCTATCAAGCCACCCCAACGGTACCCCCCCCCCCAAAAAAAAAAAAAAAAACGAGAAAAGGAAGGAACATTCAGAATGATGTTGTCTCGCTTTTTGCCGCATTTTCCTCAACTGGAAGGGACAGTGATTCACTCCCATGGTACCGCCACGTTGCTGCGCGTTGCCACCTCTGTGTAAAACACATCGAGGCGGCAGGCGCCCATGTTTCTTGGTTGACGTTGGAAGCTGAGCAACCAATTGAAATTTGAGCAGTTAAGTGGTTGGATTTCAACCCCTAAACCACAACAAGCAAAAATGTAAATGCTTCCCAACGGGGTTACCCGAAGGTTAAAAAATGAGTCTGGAAACCCAGGGGTTGCTTCAGAAGTGCGCCACATCTCCCTTCGTTTCAAGCGGCAGCTTTTGCTCTACTAGGTCCTCCAGTAGAGAGGTTAGAATAAGTTGGCACCGATTTCTTTCTGTAGTCGATTTTAGTAGGGGAACCCTCCCAACCAAAAAAGGGGTGAGAAAGGGCACCAATTGCTGGGGGACCTACTCTAATTTGGGCATTGCAAAACTGCTTTTAGACGGGGTGAAACGCTATAGGTCGAGCCCCCTGTGCTTCGTTGTAGTTGTCACACGGAGCCCACGTCACTGGCCTGAGTTTACCATGATCAAAGTCACCCCTAAAACATGAGGGGAAACAACCCCATTGGGTGTAAAGGGAAACAACCCTTAGGGGTTATAAAGGGAAACAACATAATTCTCTGACTTTGAGAACCCCCAAAAACAGTGAAACTCATGACCTCTGTGTGGACACACATCCATTTTGTCAGGGAAGATCCCCAGATCGACTCGGCTCGGCCAGCGGCCGCCTCCGGCGGTGACCTGTCCCAAGGAGAACCTGCGAAGTCTCCGCTGACTAACGTCAGAAGCATAAAGCTCATTTTGGGGAGGGGACCCAAATAGGCGGGTGTCTTTTTTTGGAGTTGGTACCCCTTGTTAGTGGAAATAAAGGAAAACCAAAGGGAAACCCACGATTTTGGGGGTCCCCCATTTGGGACACACACCCAAGTTCTTCCGCACGAAACAAACAGAACCAACCAGTCTATGCATGAAACACAACTGCGAACTGCGAAGATTTCGGAGGCGGTGTTTTTTTGCAGCTCTGAGCCTCAGTTAGGTCTCCGGGAGGCTTGCTGGTTTACGGGCCCCAAACTTCCAGTACTGTGTCATATCCAAACGCCATCCAACAGCTATAACTTGATCTGACCATTTGAGACAGAGACCAACCAGACTTGCTTCTGGCCCAGCGATAATGAATGCCCAACAGGCAAATTATAGGCTTTTTCGCAGCATCTTTTGGTGGAGGAGCCTGCTTTGGGTGCACTACCCACGCAAAGCGGGCTGTTGAGGGGATGGGTGTGCCGTAAAATAGGGACCTCTTCCAATTCAAGGATTCAAATGGGCAATGGTCCGGTGCCTGCGCAAGATGGGAGGACAAACGCACCACCAAGAAATTGCTGTTGGGGGCGTTCCAGGGAGCAAGTTTCGCGAACAGGCAGATCGGTGGAAAGACTTGCCATGCGGAAGGAGGCCGACCAGCTTGCATGCCGAACCGCTCAGTGGAAAATGGTCACCAGAGAAGCTGAAAAAGATGAATCAGCCCCAAAACTTGCGATCGGTGCTTATCGCAGGGAATGAGGGAATGAACCTGGCGGTCCCCTTAAAGGAAGCCACAAGAAACCATTCCATTTCTCTCATTCCATCCTCCCAACAAAAAATCAGATTGTGGATTGCTCCAAAATTCCCAGCCCGACGGCAGAGACACGGTCCCTAATGGGAAAAACAACGGAAACCAAAACAAACCCAAGGGCAGCTGTCTACCCCGGTTTGGTCATATTTTTAGAGTTTCGGAGCGACCCTGGCCCAAATCTCCCAGCAACGTTGAGCCCAGATTTTGGCCTCCGAGCACCAAACACCAGACGTCCTAAAAAAATTGACAGGCGAGTAAGCCTCCCGAAAAGTCCGACCTGGCGGAGGTGCTGCTGGTGGCAGGTGCCGGGTCCGCAATCAGCAGGGACTTGAAGAACCTCGGGGCTGTGTAGTTCAAACGGAGTGTTGGCCAATCCACAATCCCTATTGTACTAGGGGGCAGCTCCCCATTCTTTCCAGGGATCCTTCTTTTCAGAAACCATCAGAACTCCAGGGCAACAGCTGGCTTTTGAAAAGAATGATGGCTGAGAAGAATGGGGAATCAACCCTAGAATTGTGCTAGAAAGGGGTTCCTTTGTAACCCAAGGATCTTGCGGATTGCAAGGCGAGATTGGTTTTAGACAAGACTCTTGTCCTAGGGAAACCCAAGGGAGGTTGGTTAAGCAACGGGTTAGGCATGTTTGACGGGGTTGGCACAACCCTCCCGAGTGGTCGGAACACGTGGGTTCCGCGGCAAAGCACTCGGCTGAAGAAGAAAAACATAAGACTAGTGGTCGTATCTGAACATGTCGGTGTAGCCGCACCATGATTCTGTTGAGAAAAACTGCATGGACATTTGTAGGATCGCTTTATCCAAGGCACCTTCCGAAATATGATTCACCCAATAAGCAGTTTACCCGCACTCGCCAGCAACTTGCCTTGCAAGGCTTCTGAGGCTTATGGAGGACCCATCGTGGCCCCAAAAAAGGTCGGGACCCCGCATTTAACGGTCAAACCCATATCAAATGCAAAATCTGAAAGGTGAATGCCTTTTTCTTGGGTCACTGCCTTGTCCTTCACCAGTTGCAATTTACCGGCGTCCCTTCCGACATGTCCAACGGGAAATCGCGAAACCCTGGTAGATTCGAGGTGCAACTTTGCATCCCTTAGAAGACATCCCAACAATATTGAGCTGCCTCTCTTTAAGAGTCATGTCAATGTGCTCACTTAGCCAGTGGCCTGCCAACAGTGTACACCTTTTCGGCCACTAAACTAAAGGGGAAGCCGCCAAGAAAAAAGTGTAAAGTGTGTCCACTGGCCGGGTGAGTGTGCGGACAAAAATGACCTGAGCTTTAAGGATTTCACGGTCTGCACCCACAACTGGGCCATAGTTGGCCAGCTTCCTAAAGCACACATACCTTCCATTTAACATTTGCTTAAGCCCCATGAGAAAAAGGAAAAAAGCATATTGTCCAGTAGTGAGATAGATCCCCCCCCCAAAAAACAAAACACGGTGAACATAACCGTTAAAATGGAAGGTACAGTTAAATTGTGCGATTCACCCCGGGATCATTTGGTTCTCTGGGCACCTACCTCCAATGTGCACCTAGGCCGGTCCATGCAAACCCTCCAGGCTTCCCCAAAATGGGGAAAGCTTCCGTTTGCCGAAGCACACCAAAAGGAGGTTCCCCAACATCAACGAACCACACCTGCGATCCATGGTGTTGAAAGAGTGTATTCAGGGCTCCCTATTTCCCTTGAACCATCCCAAACCACGAAAGGAAACACAAAAACCAACCATGGCCATGTGTCAAACCACACAATCGTTGGAAACAGAATTGGCCCTTAAAAAATCACCCGTTTACCCGCAAAAAACATGCGCCAAACGGTTTAACCCTCGAATCGACACGTCCGAGCCCGGGACCCTGCTTCTTGCGGTTCCCCTGTGCAATCCGTGGAAAAGTTCACAATCTTCGCCTCAGTCTCGTCGGATCTCCCCCTTTTGTCCTATATCAAAATCCCGGTTACCCCCAAAAACCAGCAACAGTGACTGAAAAAAACAGCAACTTCGCTATCTAGGTCTGACCATTTGAGACAGATCTGACCATTTGGGCATGGGTCAAAATCCCGGTTAGCCCCCAGTGAACATCCCAATCCAACCACTAAAATCCAAAACGGTTTTGACAACCACAGCCATATGATTTTGCCCGGGATTGGGTCCGCGCTTGCGCCGCAGCTGCGCGGCACTTGCGCAGACTTGCGGAGTGCACCGAAACAGAGAAACTCGTTTTCGTTGATCTCGGGGTTGCAAGGCTTTCGTGCGGTTTGCGAAAAAAAACACTCAAGACGCAAAGGCATTCGAAGGGTATTCAGGGCAAGGAAGGTCCCGGTTGCTGTTGACCCCCTGCAAAAAGTGAACTTTTTGGGGGTTTAGTGGAAACACCTTTCCCAACCCAATTGCAGTCGTTGCGGATGCAAGGCCGCACCGCGAAGGACATCCAAGGAAGCAAAAGGGTTGCTAGATGCCTTGCTGGGGCTTCTCGTACTTGCGCGCAACATGAAACCCTTTAAAACTTCAACCTTGCGCATCCCTTGGGCTGCCCTCACACGCTCCTTGCGCGCGCACAGCTTTGACAACTTTTGCTTCTCCTCGTTCGGCGGCAATTGAAACGGAAGGCTGGGGTTTTAGGACGACCCCGAATGGGAAACCCCAAAATGGCTTCGGTACTCCTTTCTTCCCAACCCGAAACGCGTACTCTAAAAACCACCCCATTTCAAGCAACAGAATGGTCCAAGTCCGGGGGAATCTTCGCCCAGTCTTCGCCGCCGGTCACCAAAAGGCTGGGGCCCCGGCGCGGTCGAGAGCGCCTGGGAAGGAAACGCCACGAGTCTTGTCAAACCCCAAAACTTGCTGGTGCTCAGTAGGGAATGTGGGAAACCTGAACATGATCCCTTAAAGGAAACCACTAGTTGGATGTTTTGCGGGTCATTCCATTTCCACGATAAAGAAAATAATCAATCCATTTGGGTAGACGCACTCTTCCGCATGTGTGGCAAGGAACATCATGGGGATGAGCCGAATGATGGGCTTGGGTCTAAAACTAGGTTCTCCAGTAGAGAGCTTAGAATAAGTTGGTACCCAACTTTTTCTTCTTTTTGGACCTATTTTAGTAGGGTCCCGAACCCTCCCAACCAAACGAGGGGTGAGAGGTCGGGCACTACTGGGGGGCCTTGAGACGGGCCACTGGGGCCATCAGCGTGGCCCGCTCTTTGCATCGAAGTGAAGCCGATTTGGGTGCGGCGGTCGGCGGTCGACGTAACCGTTTAACCCCCAAATGGCTTTTTGCCCTATGGACACTTGGGCTCGGAAAAATCCGGTGGTCTCCTCTGGCGGAAGATTTTGACCCATGCCCAGTTCTGAAGGACTCGTTTTTTGATTTTTGTGGGGGGCCATCTTTTTGAGTCGCATGTTCGTCTGGAAGAGGAAACGGCACTCCGTGGACGTTCTCATTTTGATGGGCGTTTGCAGCTACAAGTACCTGGACTTGAACAAAGCGGATCCCGCTGGGTGGCACACTCAAGCCGCGCCCTGCCACATCCAGCGTGCAGCGCCCACCCCTGGCAATGGACGTGGGTATGAATTTTGATTGGGACTAGTTAAAATTTGGGAACATCATTTACATGGACATACCCTCTACAAGAACCAGAGGTTCAAATCCCCAACCAATCCGACCCATGCAAAAAGTTAACTTGTTAGTTGAAAGGAAAATGAAGGAACTCTCGAAGAGCAATCAAAAAGCACAAACTCACTGTTGACTGCCGCAACGTGGACTTAAATCCACCTGGTTTCCCTCATGGGGAATCAACCGCCATTCGGTCTGAGTGTAAGTCGAGCCATCAAAACATCTGGCAGAAAACCATGACAATCATTGAATTAATGTTGGAACAATTTCGAACGGAGTCTCCAGCAGCTCTCAGTAACATGCAGAACGTCAGAATACTCGCCCAAGTCACTAAAACCTGAACATCACAAACTTGAAACTTTTCAACCCCGTGATGCTCCTGAAAGGCCTTGCCCGACGTTCCAAACCCTTCTTGCTCACTAAAATGACTGGAATATCTGAAGGTTCCGAGACCGCAAAGCCAATGAAACCAACCTGAAAAAGCCGAAGCAAAGCGGGCACCATCCCCTTCTTGTCTTGCAGCCCGGGTCCAGAAGTCTACAAAAAGCCGCCCATCCCGGGCGAATGACTCACCAACCGCACGGCTTGGATCCCTAAAGCCTCTTCTCATGGGGTGCCCAGACATCATGCTCTCCCTATGAGTGCTTCGTTGAAGCGATGCCAGACTGGACGCGCTGGCGCAAACCTGTGGGCATTCAGGGCACGGCGCTGCAGTCGACATAGCTGACGTGTCGCCTGTGTCACCTGAAGTTGCTGAAGCTGAAGGCGTGTAGAACCTTCACCAGGTCTGTTGCATGGCTGGCAGCCAGCCAGGACATCTGGACCAGTGAGGTTGGATGAAAGGCAAAGCATGACTCCCAACTGAAGTGGCCAGTGGCAAATGGCAGATGGCCTGCAAGTAGCCGAATGAGACCGGCATCCTGAGGTGTGAAAGCCATGACTGGTGTGCAAAGCTGCGCGTGTAGCCCCAGCGACGCGAGCAAGCTGCCAAGCTCGTGTTTTGGCAGACTTGAGGCGAGTCCACGCTGTCAAGGCTGACCTTGCCGGGTTAGCTCTGCGTCCCCTTCAGTGTTTCTTTATGAAGATGTCCAAATGCTATATTGGGCAACTATGGACAAGGAAGGGCCTGTAGTGAGCCACGTTCAGCTTGGTGAACCGTAACATGTTGAACAAAAACATCAAATAGATAGGGGTCACAGGATTTCCCTTCAAAAGTTGCAGGAGGGACCCTGATCTACCGCGGCCCTTTACTCCGACAGTCAGAACCCCTGAGACGCAGAGTCTAGGGGGAAAACAAAAACATCACTTGGTTGGCGTTGGAAGGGTAGCAACAAATTGAGTTTTAGCAGTTAAGTGGGGATTTCCCACTAAACCACAATAAGCAAAAGTGTAAAATCTTTCCCAACAGCAATGATCACACGTAAGCCGGGAGACTCCCGGGCCCGAGATCGAATTTTCCCCGCCTGCCGCAGGTGAAGCTTTGCCCCGGCTGGGCACCCCGGACCTGCACGCGAACCGGCGCGCGACTCAAATCGGTTGGATTGCTAGGAGCTCGTTTCGGGCAGCTTCCCACGGCCGTGCTTCCGAAGAGAAAAAACACCGGGTTCACTTCAAAAAATCCCTTCAAACGTTGCGCAATGTACTGGTTTCCGATGAAACGATCGCAACTCTTGCAGATCCGAAAGCGGGAGCTCCCCGTACTTCACATAACCACATGAGGAAACTCATCTGAAACTTGGTTGCTGCAACGACCCGTCCGCAACAAGTGAATAACTTTTTGTGGGTCCCATCCGGAAAAAGAAGAAGAAGAAGAAGAAGAAGAAGCAAAAAACACTCTGAAGGTGAAAGTCCAAAGATCCGTTACCAAATCGCCATAAAGAAAAGGCACCATCAAGAAATTGACAGACCCATGTGATAGTTCTTATGATTTGATCCCTCGCCTGTTGATTCGTCAAGACTTGGGAAGCAAACAAACGCAGCTGAGATGGGACTGTGGTGAGCATTTGATTTCTATGCGCGCAGCCATAAGGGGTTCCATACGCTTGATTGTCCGACGAAACCAGCAAAACACATGTAATTATGCTATTTTCAATAGGGGTGTGTTTCAAAAGTGGCATAAATCCCCACCTACGTGATGTCCACCAGAACGGGCCCACGAAACGGTCGTCTTCTGCGCTCAGCCCCAAGTTAGAAGTTGGCACTGCCCGAAGGTCGACCCGACGAGCGCTTGGCACATCCACCCCGAGCTCCCCATCCGCTTCGAGCTCCCCACATCCAGGACACCAACGCTCTGGTGGTATGAGGACAAGCTGCTCGCCTCAGGGCAAAAAATTGCCGGCGTCATTTGACTTCGAAGTCCCAAAGTTGTAGCTTTGACAACCACCACGGGTTGGTAAATGTGTGTGTGTGTGTTTGGTGTGTGTGTGTGTGTGGGTGGGTGGGTGGGTGGGGGAAAAAATACAAGAACAGATGTTGAATGAAGTAAAATAAATTTCATAACAACTTAACAAAATATAAAATATAGGTTTATAATTAAAATATTAAATAAGGTTAATACATTATTCATATTCATTCACCTTATCTAATTACTTGAAAATAATTTTACTTCATTGAAATATTATATAAGGTTAAGAAGTTATTCTACATATTAACCTTATACAATTTTATGTAAAATATTTATTAATAAAAATAATGTTAATTTTCTTCTGCCTGTTTCATTTCTAAATTTCTTTATGCTTATCTGTTTTATTTTTGTTGTATTTCTTTATACTAGTTTTACTAGTAAAACTTCCTTGAAAATATAATCAATATTCCTTGAAACTAAATCTATAAATCCAAATCATAAATCTTACAATAAAATTAAATTGTAAGGTTTATGGTGTAATTTATAATTTAAGTTCAGGATAATAATTTAATTGATGACTGTTAAATTGTGTATATATCTTACCTCTTTCATGCATCAATTTTAAAATAATATTAATATCTCTCACTGTATTTTTGACATTAAACTTTTTTCTGTCAATGTATGTTTTAATTTCTTCTTTTACATCAAACCCTTCCCTAAAATGACAAGTCAACATCCATAATACACCTTCAATCATTTCATATTTTTCTTACTGATTTTCAGAAATGCTCTAACATAACTATAAGGTGGTCTTTCATACACAGTTAAAAATATCAAAATGTCATCTTCAACATTTCTTTCATTAAATCGTTTAATACTTAAAGTACATTTGATTAATTCTTGATAAAACCTCCAATTTCTACAAATGTTACATAAATCTTCTTCACCCAAAGCATAATCAATAATATTATTTATTATTCCATTAGGTAAATTTAATTTATACAATTCCATATTTTCTTTTTTGAAGTGGCAACAGTCATAGCATTTCTTATTAATATACTTATTGATTTCAATACCGCTCATTTTCTCACTAATATATTAAGTCACTATTTCCTTAAGTCATTTTCAAAGAATGAATATAAACTTAAATTATTAACAAAATATCACAAAACATAAATCGTACAATGTTTTTTATTGTAAGGTTTATGGTGTAATTTATAATTTAAGTTCAGGATAATAATTTAATTGACAAATCTCATTTATTTCATACATCATTTTAAAAATAATATTAATATCTCTCACTGTATTTTTGACATTAAACTTTTTTCTGTCAATGTATGTTTTAATTTCTTCTTTTACATCAAACCCTTCCCTAAAATGACAAGTCAACATCCATAATACACCTTCAATCATTTCATATTTTTTCTTACTGATTTTCAGAAATGCTCTAACATAACTATAAGGTGGTCTTTCATACACAGTTAAAAATATCAAAATGTCATCTTCAACATTTCTTTCATTAAATCGTTTAATACTTAAAGTACATTTGATTAATTCTTGATAAAACCTCCAATTTCTACAAATGTTACATAAATCTTCTGCACCCAAAGCATAATCAATAATAGTATTTATTATTCCATTAGGTAAATTTAATTTATACAATTCCATATTTTCTTTTTTGAAGTGGCAACAGTCATAGCATTTCTTATTAATATACTTATTGATTTCAATACCGCTCATTTTCTCACTAATATATTAAGTCACTATTTCCTTAAGTCATTTTCAAAGAATGAATATAAACTTAAATTATTAACAAAATATCACAAAACATAAATCGTACAATGTTTTTTATTGTAAGGTTTATGGTGTAATTTATAATTTAAGTTCAGGATAATAATTTAATTGACAAATCTCATTTATTTCATACATCATTTTAAAAATAATACTAATATCTCTCACTGTATTTTTAACATTAAACTTTTTACTTTCAAAAAATAATTTGATATTTTCTTTAACATCCTCTCCTTTCTCTTGACTATAACACAACATCCATAATATATCATAAATCATTTCATATTTGTTCTTACTGGTTTTAAGAAACTGTTTAACATATTCGTAAGGTGGTAATTTATTTACAGTTAAAAATATCAAAATGTCATCTTCTACATTTCTATTATGTCTTCCTTTTTTTCTCAACACACAATTGATTATAGCTTGGTTATCTCTCCAGGTTTTACAATTTTCACATACATCTTCTTCATCCATTGAATAATCAATAATATTATTTATTATTCCATTAGGTAAATTTAATTTATACAATTCCATATTTTCTTTTTTAAAGTGGCAACAATCATAGCATTTCTTATTAATATACTTATTGATTTCAATACCGCTCATTTTCTCACTAATATATTAAGTCACTATTTCCTTAAGTCATTTTCAAAGAATGAATATAAACTTAAATTATTAACAAAATATTACAAAACATAAATCTTACAATGTTTTTATTGTAAGGTTTATGGGTTAAAATAATAGTCAGGCAATATGTCTTCAAATATGTAATCTACATATTTACCTATATCATCTTCATCTATATATTTGATATTGTCTTTTCCTATTATTGAATGAATATATTCCCAGAAAAACAAATTCACTAATAGACATACTTTATATTTAGTGTTGTAGTAATACCATATACTATATTCAGTTACTCTAAATTCGTTCAAGACTTCATTTATTTTATCTTTGTCTAATAAATGCCAGTCAATCCATTCAAACAAATAACGGTATTTTTGACAAATGCTTTGTATGGTTTAATTGTGTTTATTCCTCCAAACCTCCTAATTAAATCTATATTACTAAAGAATTCATCAATTTCATTTTCAAATGACTTTCTGGAAATCTTCTGGTAAAAGTGTATAGGAAATCTTGCTTGGTGTCGCATAAAGAATTTTAATTGTAATTGAAACTTTGTATATCCCTCATCCTTATGTTCTTCAAGAAAAAACTTTTCAAGGTCTCTTGTTATACAGCATTGATTGCAATATACATTATATTCACTTATTTTATTACATAGATTGGCGGGTAATAACTTACACAATGTTATATTAACATCATTCTTTGTATTCTTACAGAATTCGCACTTGTTATAGTTAAACAACATTTCACTATATTATATTGAGTCATTATTTCCTTAAGTCATTTTTAGCGAAGTACATGAGATATTTTTTGTTTTTGTATTTCTATAAGTCTTTCATATCCTCTGACCACTCCGTCAAAACTAAACACATAATTTACGGAACTTTCACCTGCTAATTCACAAGTTTTTATTAATTCATTAAAATCTTTTTCAACTGCGTCTCATCATGCTCTAATTCAAGGCATGATTTAAACCCTTCATTAAAGTCTTTCTTGTTAGTTTTAAAGTATTTAACATCTAGCAAAGCATATTTATCTCTTTCATCTTCATAGTGTTCTTTTACCTTTCTCATTTCTTTTATTAATTCTATTCGTTCTTTTATTTCTGCGTGTATCTTCATTACTACATTAAGTCATCATCTCTTTAATTCTCCAGTGATGATGACTATGTCATCATATTATTCTATTTTCAATAGAATAATGACCATATGCTAAACTATCACTTGTATTAGTCCAGTATCTTTTATTTTCATAACTATTCAAACTAATCTTTGTTGTTCTAATACTATAAATTTTATGGTTTTTACTTCTAATACTATTGAATGATTTATGTATAACTTCATTAGTTTGTAAAACCTTATCATATTCTTTATATGTCAGTTGCCTCCTCACTATGTGCTTTGCTGTGCCCTTGCATTTCTTATGTTATTTTTCTTCTCCATAGATTTGAAAAGCGTAACACTTAGGACGAAGTCCAATAAACCCTGTATAATTTTGCTACTGCATTCATCCTTAAATTTACCCAACGTCTTTTTATTAGTAGTATCATAGCATTTATGATAAATAGGATAATCTGAAAAATCCATTTCATCTTTAATATCATGAAGATCTTTATAAATGTCATCAGTCTTAGTATGAAATACAAAACTATCAGTGTCAGTATAAACCATTCTAATATTGTCTCTGTATTTAGGTTTCATAACATTATAATAAAACTTATACATATGTTGCTTACTCAAATCTAAAATACTCATTCCAATGAATATAGGTTTATCTAATTTCAATTGTGCTTTTTGTTTCTCAACTCCTACTAAATTATCGCTGATAATATGACTATGTTTAAATGATGGATTATTAACACATTTCATAAATCTTGTTTCATCACTCACTATTTCAAAATCTAAGTGTTTCCTTTTGTCTTCCATCGTTTTTCCGAACACGGCATTATTCATTAATTTGTAAACATCTTTCTCAAAATCATTGTTGGCATTCTTTCTTTTCTCAGTGTTAAATTCAATGTAAGGTTTTAATATCTCTTTCTGACTGAATTTGATTGCTCTGTGTATTTTCTTTAGTTTCAATCCGTGTTTTAAATAAAACTGTAAAGTTCTAATATGGACTACATACTTTTCTTTGTCTTTTAAATTCAATATTAATTTATTTGTTTTTTCATCTTTAGGTTTTTTCTTATTCAGTATTTCATAAATTTCAACTTGTTTATCTGATAACATATCTGCTTTAACATTCATAATTTCAGGTGCCATTGGATAGTCATTGTGTAAATCGTGTAGTTCTTTAGGGTATTCTAAATCAACTTCTAAGATGTATCCAGTATTACCATTAGCATAGTTTAAAATATCATCTTCTGTTATTTTAGTATCCCACTTTAAATTTGTGTATGGCAGTTTTTGTATCATTGCTAATCCATATAAGTTATTAGCATCAAAATAGTTAATATAACTACTTTCTTTGCTTTCATCAAAATCATCGCCCATATAAATATTATTTGCCT